GGTGATGCATATAACCGCTCACAATTACGACATAATAATCCGTGGGCCGTGCTGAGTCGAATGGTGTGCGCATGATCCGACAAGTGGCAGCCCTTATGCTGCAAGGTCAAGGACAATCCCGAAATGTATCTGCAGTGGGCAGGCGACAGTCATGGGGTACACTGTTGAACAGCGAGTGTTTCTAATGCCTACTTGAAAACGGCGGACACTTTCAAAACCTGCTCTGATCACGGCACACAATCCAAGATAAGATATGTGTAAATTACTTTAATATCTGTATGGTATATTTTATATTACACCTCATTTCGTCGGGCCGGTTCTATATGAATCATCCTGTACTACATAGTTTCTCAACAATGCAACAAATTGTTCCTTATTTCTTACAGTTTCACCTTAGACATAACATGTATCGGCCATAAATGACCAGGTGTCTTACTATACTAAAACTGCTACACTGCATTAATAATGTCCACTTCTCGCATATGCGACGAATTCTGCCGCTGTTCTTTTTCCGATGGTTGCTGCCGATACTGCTGCGAAAAGCAGGATCGAATTATCGATTGGGTGTTGCGGATTCTAAGAAGAATTTTCTCCCTGTTGGCTCCGGGACTGTCGCCAGAAGGTTCCTCCTGCGCTGTAATTCCTGTTTTGCATAACTGCAGCCTCTGTAACTTCCTGGGTGCGGCGATTATACGTCTTGTAAGTTGCAATCACAGGAGGGGGGACACTCGCTCAGTCCTGTTTCTCTGGGCGCTCATGACGTCTGTGACCACCTAACACAGGCAGCGAGGAGGGTGCCTGCAGTGAACCCTAGTGTGACCAAGACGCTGACAGTTATACCATTCTGTAAGCCCGTTCGACCTTTGTAACTATGTTACAGAGTGCTTTTAATTTGAAGATTTCTTGGGAATCTTCTTCCATTCCTATAGTAACTAGGAAGAGGGAGAGCGTTGTGTCTGGTCCCTCTTTCTGGAGTGGGACGTGCGCTTGTCATCAGTTTTAAACTGATGACATCGTAGTTTTATCTCCTGGAGGACCACAGTGATGTCCTTTGCAGAATTATTGCCAGAAAATGCCAGATAACGATTTTAACATATTTATCCGCCTTTGTGCAAAATTTAAAGGAGTGGATATTTTTCTAAGTAAAGAATTTTTGTATGGCAGTGTAGTCCACCATACTTTTAGCTGAGATCTATTTCAGTTTGCAGTCTTCTGGAACAAGAACTCCACGCTCACTATATTCTTCAGTTCTCTCAGGAGACTAATTAAGTTGACCTCCGATGTTAATATGATGGGGGGGGGGGTTACCTATTATTGCCCGAACTTGTGTCAGGTATTTTAGTGGACTTTCCTTGGCTGCCCGGCGCCGAATTTTCCGTAGGTAAATCCCTACTTTGATAGAATTTATAGGTTTTTGTTATTAATTGCAATCAGGCATATCTGAACTTACTGACGAATTTCCGTATCCTCATATTGATAACACATATGATTATGTTTCATATATTTTTAAGATTAACAGAGCATGTATTAACTAGAGGTAAAGTGTTAAGACGCTGAAGCTTTGCTAGGAAGATCAGTTCTTAAATGCTTCCAGCGGAGGTTACCAAACACGTCCAAATCCGTAGAAGGTAAAGGTAAATATTACAACTGTTATTTTCTGCGAAGATATGATATCTGGCAAACATCAGTAGGTTAGTACTCGTAAATTAACGATATGCCTTTATGTAAATGGGTGGCAAAGCATTTCGCCAATTTTCATTAACATAAATTAACCAGTTTAGAGACTGTATGCACTCAAACTTTCAGTAAAGTGTAAATGCTTACACTCTCTCTTTGCTTGTTCAGGAGAAATCGTTCTACAAACGGAAGGAAGGAACAGACGCAGAAGAATAAGACTAATCACAGACATGTTTCAAGGTTACGTATTGCGAACTTTTTTTTTCCTTGGCACTACAGCCCCAGTGGATCTAGGCCTACCTCAATGAACCTCTCCGTTCACTTCGGATTGCGAACTTTAAGATCCTAAAATTGGGGAAAAAACATCGAAAATGAGTACCATCATGGAGTAACTTGTCTTACCCTACCTACTTTTAACGCCCGTTGTATTCATATTTTAGAAGTGAACAGTTTCTGCAGTATTCATGTTTCAGCATCGTTCTGTATCTTCTTTTAAACTTAATATATTGTGACGTACCACCAGATAAAAATTAGAATATACAAAACTATAATTTTGCCTGTGGTTCTGTATGGGTGTGAAACTTGGTCTCTGACATTAAGGGAGGAACATAGACTGAGGGTGTTTGAGAACAGGGTATTGAGGAGAATATTTGGACCGAAGAGAGATGAATTAACAGGAGGTTGGATGAAACTGCATAATGAGGAGCTTCATAACTTGAACTCTTCTCCAAGTATAATTAGAATGATCAAGTCAAGGAGGATGATGTGGGCAGGTCATGTAGCAGGAATGAAGGAGACGAGAAATGCGTATCGGATATCGGTGGGAAAGTCAGAAAGAAAGAGACCACTGGGAAGACCAAGGCGTAGGTCGGTGGACAATATTAGAATGGATCTTAGAGAGATAGGATGGGATGGTATTGATTGGATAGATGTGGCTCAGGATAGGGACCAGTGGAGGGCTCTTGTGAACACGGTAATAGATCTTCGGGTTCCACAAAATGCTGGGAAATTCTTGAGTAGCTGTAGAATTGGCGGCTCCTCCAGAAGGGCTCAGCTCCATGAGTAAGTAAGTAAGTAAGTGACGTACCATCAGAAATCCTGAATAATTGAGATCAGAGTTGAAGTCATCGGAAACGACAAATGTCCCCACGACAGCGGCTGGGAATGGTTGAGATCAGAGTTAATTTCCTTGGCAACGACCAACGTTCCCACGACAGCGGTTAGGAAAAGTTGACATCAGAGTTGATTTCCTGCGCAACGACCAACGTTCCCACGACAGCGGTTAGGAAAAGTTGACATCAGAGTTGATTTCCTGCGCAACGACCAACGTTCCCACGACAGCGGTTAGGAAAAGTTGACATCAGAGTTGAATTCCTGCGCAACGACCAACGTTCCCAAGACAGCGGCTAGGAATGGATGACATCAGAGTTGATTTCCTGCGCAACGACCAACGTTCCCAAGACAGCGGCTAGGAATGGTTGACATCAGAGTTGATTTCCTGCACAACGACCAACGTTCCCACGACAGCGGCTAGGAATCAGATCGCTAGCATTTCCTAACATTGGAGTTTCCATCGTTACAATATAGTATAATAAGTATATAATACAGAAATATTAAATTATTTCCTTCTACATTATCCCATTGCACCGTTCTTTATTCAAACAAATATTTATCCTTGGGTGCTTGAATGGCAAACTGTGGTACAAGGTCTCTTCGTACATAACTAGACTCAAGGAAATATGCTTGTTTGTCTGGGTGGGAAACTTTCCCAGCAAGTATAGAAATAAACGAGGAAGTAAACATGGCATAAAACAATATTGGTGCCTGATTATCTTGTAGACTTATTGGAAATTGTTTTAAATTTGGAGTGTTTAAGATGCTCCGTATCCTGAAATGTCTGGGATGCCATCTCCACATGACACCGTGCCTGCCAGATTGGAGTGGGCACTTCCTCCTCGCTAGATGTTGGGGTTATACCGTCCATGCTGTCAGCAGAGATCCGTTTGTGATAACTGGGTCCACCGCTTGAATGTGAGGCTGGATTTTGAGGTGGATGAGCTATATATTCCGCTTCAATTACCCTTTGACCCCGTAAAGAAGGAAGAACGTGAGAAAATTTAAGAAATTTCCAGAGCACGGCAGATACATTTAACACGTTCAAACATGACAATAAATGCAGAACACATTAGCACGAAAATTAAAATTTTCAACTGCTGGGTGCAACAGCACAGCATATTACTGCTACCTGGAATGGGTTTGGCTTAGACCAGGCAGCAGTAAATTCTGGAAGGCACAGAGTCAGGTTAAGGGATACCTACAGAGAACCAACAAATGCTGGGAGCCTGCTTTATGCTGACGCGACACGGACCTCGCGTAATTCTTCGTTGCTGAGAGAACATCTTCTTACCCAGCAACGGCAGGGGGCTACACAGACACATAAATCCACCATTTCTTCTACAAGTGCTTGTATTCTTTGCTGTGGGAACGTGATCAGAGAGCCGTTACCTAGTAACGAAATGAGGGTTACACTTTACGGAACTTCTGCATAGCAACACTCAGACTGACGAGAGGGATTTATGAAGTAGGCCGCTGTGATGGGCTCAGGTACCATGATTTACATACTAAGCTGTTTGAAGCATTCAGAAGTTAATAGGGGGGATTTATAGAAGCACAGACAGCATGCAGTTCACATAAGCCTACTTTAGGAAAGCAGGCTCATAACATTAATTTACGATTCCCGCTGTAATAGAACAGCTGCTTCGAGAAGGGCAAAGTGTTAGGCCTAATAATTGGAAATCGCGTGTTTAACATGCATCAGCGTCAAAAAATGAAACATCGAAATTCGACCGTCATGTGGAAGGAGTGATGGAAAGCTTTGCCATCAAATTCGATTATACAAACACTGACGACAACAGTGCAGTTGACATGCAGAGTACTAAGTATCTCGAAGGCAGGGATTAAACACTGACTCGAGTGTTGCAGTTGACTTTGTTTAATAGAATGTTCAAATAGCGGTCGCCATGAGGTGAAAGTCAAACACTTTTTCGAGAAATAAATCGGCCCCGAAGAGTAAGCTAAGTAAGGAACTACACAGCGTTTTATGCAAGAAGAGTGTGTGTATTTTCCGGGCCCTCCCTTGTTAACATTTTACAAGTATTGGGAGGGTGGGGGGGTGATCGCTGCATTTGTTCCTGGATTCTTGTTGTGTTCCGAATGCTACACTGATGGACTGGGGTGTCCAAGCTTTGGACATAATTAAAGAAGAAAGATATTTCCAAAATAACAAATATTTAATATCATAAACGTGATTATATATATTATCATAACAATAAGAACATAACTTGACTAAGAGTATACAACATTTGTAAACAATAAGTAAACAATAAGAGTTCTAATCACATTTCCATCTTTGCAACATTATTGAATTTATGAGCCCTCGCAGCTAAGTCAGTTCAGAAAAAAGACTAACCACTCGGGAACGCTGCCCCAGTGTATCAAACAAAACAGAAGGGTGCAAGGAAAGCCTAAACACATACAAAACAACTCCCAGCAAATCCCTTCATCGGCTTCCAAACACAGATTACTAAAAATGAGGCAATAAAAGCCGAATCACTAAATAAATTAATACCTCAGCAGAACTCTTGCCGCAACGCTCCCAACACACGCGCTTCAGCAAGGCAGTCCCTCGCCCTCAACGGCCGGTACGATAATCCAAAAAGAATTTTGATTGCACAGTCTAAACGGAATTCCATCCAACTTCCTTGTTGACCGCTGGCAAACGAAAGACAAGCTTTCAGCTCCGCATAATTATGGGGACCCTTCTTTTCCCTAAACAACTGGGGGAACGGTAAATCACATGGTACATGGGAGTGATGAGATTACTTAAACAAGGAAGTAACAGCACGGATGCCTGGCGGGGGTTGGGGGAGGGGAGGATACCGGACGGAACGTGCAATTTGCGAGCCATCAGGTTGAACATAGCTCTCTTCATTAGCAGTTTGTACTTTTTGTAATGCTTATTAATGCTCAGTAACATTCCTTATAAACATATCTCATAAGGAAAACAATCAGGAGACACAGTGACTGGCACATGGTTAATTACACGGTAGCTAATGAAGGGGTATAGGGATCTTTGGGACAAAAGCTTCCAGCAACGCATCATACATGATGCTTCCTTTCAGCCAAACTGACAAAATATGAAATACTGAAATGTAGTCTACATGTTCACAGCAAATTGGGATAGCACTGAAGGAAGTTTGTATTAGGTCGGTTTCTGGCATTCTCTGCAGTCCTTCTACATGTAACAAGATTTTTTTGTTAATTATGTCAAGGAAACTTTGAACTGAATAACAAACATTACAGTTTAAAGCTGAAAGTTGTAAGCATTTAACCCCAAAGAAATAAAAGTTATTGTGTCATAAATGATTACCCTTAGAACACATTAAATAGTAAAATGTTCAATTATACAGGCTGAGTTTTCTCTTATGCAATGTTGCCCCGACTTATCCTTTGACGTTCCCGTATGGACCTGCACAAGCAGAATGAGACAATGCTGAGCACCAATTTGAACACGGCCAATCCAACTGCTATTCCAATTATCGTGACTTTGGTATCGATAACCATTCCCACCACTGTGTTGAAGCAGCCTGTTTTCCAGTAGGAATTTTCATCTGATGGGCTTTTGGTGCAGTTTGAATATTTGGGTTGAAATTTCGATACATCACCTTCCAAAATGCAACATGCCTCGGGGATTACCTTCTTATTTCCCTCAGTCCATTTCTTCGATTCCTTGAAGTCTTCATAGCTGTTCACACCGCAACATTTCGAATGTGCCATTGTGTAGTCCCACATGAGAGTTATAGCATCCTTCTCTTCTGCAGCATAATATTCTTTTATGGATGATTTCAATAATGTTCGAGTATTTTCCTCGGCCTGTTTTGTGTATAATCCAGCTAAACTTCCAGCAGTGATTTCCAGGATCAGTATTAGTATAAGAATTACTCCATAAGTAGCCAAAAAGCATTTGGACTCACGCAATGCTCCACAACAGCCTAGGAAACTTATGATGAAGGTCAATACCCCGACTACGATGAGTAGGTAGCCAGCTTGTCGGAAGACAGCTGGTTGTACGATTTGCTGAAGCTCAGCTTCAAAGTTTTCACCAGATGTACGCCGAATAAAATTGACGAACGAATTTGCGTCCACAACGTTCCATGTTCCACAGACAATAGCGACGAATCCAGCCAAAAAGGACAGGAAAGTCAGCACCCAGAAGACGTACTTAGATAGACAAAATGTGGCACTCATTTCTTTATATTTTCGTCTCTCGTATAATCTGTTGATATCCTTCGTGGAAGTGGCAGGTGTCGATCCACTTCTGACACTGGCTCTCACGTGTTGCTGAGTAGACGCAGGGAATCACTTATTTACACACTCTGCAAATAACTACTAAAACACTGAATATTGTCAGATCGCTGATCCTTGGATAGTCCTTCCTTTATGTGCTTCTATCAAAGAATAATGAACATACTTCCGATTGATCCACATTATGTAACTTAGGCGCGGACCGGATATTAATCACCAACTTCAACTGTTCCGATACTGTTCAGTACCAATCGTCTTCCAAGGAAACCTGATTACTGAGCCATCGCGTAGCAGTGGATGGTTACCAGACTGGAATATTTTCGACTTGATCAAAAGCGTCACTATCTCTAACAGGATGCAGAAGACTAATCATGATCGGAAGGTTATCTGAGTTCAGGTTGGCAGTGAAAATGACTTCTGTCGGTCGCAGTTTCTGAAAGCATCATCTCTCCCGCTATTATGTAATGCGCAGGTCAATGTGGAGTCGGGGTTACAGGAGTCAGAACTAACAAAACTTCAAACCTGTGGATCTGCGAATTTACTCAGTCAGAGGGGATGTGTCTGTCGTTCAAATTTGCTCCTGGTCCTCGCCAGCTCAGTCACTGTTAAGTAAGAGTCCCGCGGGACATATGACTTTATTTTGCTGTCTCAGATTCGAGATTCACCAAACTTGGAGGACCCGGTCCCCGTATTTATATCTTCCAGGAAGAGAGTGGCCCAGGTATTTCGTCGCCTCCTACGACTCGCGGGTGGAGGTATTCGACCACGCCTCCACGCGGAAACTCTTTTACATGCGTAAGAGGGAACGTAATATATACTTAGAATCGTAGTGAAAAGTTAACAAAGTAACTTCAAGTAAATTCGAATAAATAGAGAAAAGGAACTAATAACAGATATAACAGAAAGTAAAATCAAATAACTTTAGAAACCATATAAATAATAGATATTTTATCAGAATATATATTGATGTATTGTAACGTGTCTGGAATCCAGAAGTCACTTCTATGGAAACGCTACAATAGACCGTTACAGAGGAGACAACAATGGCTCCATTATAATTCTAACAGGAGTCTCCATGGTTATAACGGAGGGTTCGTTGCCTAACAGCGGGCAAGGTTATAAATAGCCCAGCTTCTGCGAGAAACAGAGAGTCTCGGAATAGCATTCGAAGAAGTCAGTCGCGGAACAGCCTTCGGAGAAGAAAGCTTCGGATCGCCCGTCTAAGAAGTCAGTTTGGAATATCCGTCTAAGGAGTCAGTCTCGCCGGAATATTGTGAGCAGTGATTGTAACACTGCAAGTGTGATGCCTGTAAAGTGTGTAAGTGAGCGAAGGAAATAAATTCGCTATATTGGGATGACGGCGTGAACTTATTTGTAGCGTGACACACAAACACGCTACAGTATCTACAGAAACGTTACTGGTATTACAGCAGAAATTGAGTTCATGTAACTATAGAAATGTTACTAGCATTACAGCAGAAATTGAGTTCATGTAACTATAGAAACGTTACTATTCTTATAGCAGAGAAAAGTGACTGGGGAACCTTGGTTCTCAAGATTAACGTTGAAAATGGTATTAAATTAGAATTTTTATTGGAATAAATGTACTTCATACATTAAAATTTAAATCGTATTGAAACATTGCTATATAAACAGTACATTATTTATTAAATTACCTGAAGTGTTCAGTTTATAGTCTCGTGAGTCTGTTGAGGAGCTTGGTGATTTGTTGTGCTCAAGATAGGTCTATGATAGCAAAAGTATAGGAAAAATTGTCCGTATTTCATTCAACGAAACCGGAATAGTGAAGTAAGTCTGACCGTATAGCAGACGCCGCGTCCATGGGTTCTATTCTCCGATGTCCATGGGAATTAATTTTCCAACATTTGAAAAAATTCTTGTCGTAGAAACTTGTGTATATTTCTCCTGGTCGCTGTGGGAACAACCCATCTCTAGCCGTTGTATCGGAAACGTGTTTTGACGCGCCGTTGAAAGGCAGTGGACAAGTGTTATGCTAAGTGTCACAGTTTCATCCATTTGTACCCTCGTATAATAAGTGGGCAAAAATAATACCATCCTGGCAGTTAATATAATATTCAATACAAAAGCAAGTCAGCCTGGAATTATGCTTCTTCGAACAGAGAATATATATGTGTACACAACTGTAGACGTCACACAGTGTAAATTCCTGACATGAATTTACTTTCTACTATAATACTAGTAACGTTTCTATAGTTACATGAATTTACTTTCTGCTATAACAATTCAATAAGCAGATACGGTTAGCACGGTAATTTCAGTGAAAAATGTTACGCTGAATTGTCACTTACCGCTTCGTTCATTTGTACCCTGGTATAATAACCTTCTCAACATTAAAGTAAATTCTTCAAACAATATAGATGTTACTAGTATTACAGCAGAATGCAAATTCATCGAACTGTAGTACTAACAGATACTGGTTATGCGTGAAAGTTAATTTAATTTACTATGCAAACACTACTAACGTGACATATTCTGAAAATTTATTATTTCGAACAGGCTGCTTTAATCTGATCACCTGCCAGCATACACTTACTTCTAAGGCCTCATTGTGTAACTCGGAATAGGGTAGTCAGATTAAACGGCCGTTGCTAGGTTTATGCTTCGTGTTTCTGTTTCCCCGTGTCGTTGCTAGACAGCGGAACTTTAAGCACGTTCCCGCCCCAACGAATACAAGAACACTTGAACGCGTTGTTCCTTTGCGGTGGCAGGTAGAGAAATGAAAGTAGGCAGCAGGTAAGTGTCCTGGCGTCTGCTCTGAAGGCAACGGATATACCGGCCATTGCCTTTGCATTTTAGCCTTCACAGGCCGACTTCAGGATTGATCACGTGCAGAGTCCTGGGAACTGTTACTGCTGTTGTGATGATTGCTTCTGATTCTGCCGTGTGGAGATACGAAAAGGCAACACCCGAGCGTTTGGGAGCTTCTCGTTTCAAGAAGAATGTTCTTCCTGCTGAGGCAGGATTTATAGTCCGCAAGCTTTTTCGTAGCTTCAGCTGAGCTTTCTCGCCTCCCTGAGGTCTGTGTAACTGGCAGGTTGTGGCGACTCGCCGTCTTCGAAATCCCAATTGCAGCAGTTAGGACTGTATTTGGGATCTGTTCCACTGGGCACTCCCGTTGGCGGTGATCCCCAGCACAACATGCAGCAAGCTGGCTGTCTGCAGTATGCACAGATGTTGACAGCTGAAAAACTGTGTAAGTCTATATAATGTTAATTTAATGTTAAGAAACTGACCAGTTTGAAAATTTCTTGAGATATCTGGTTGAATGCTAGTTATTTTGGTACGGACATCATAGAAAACATCGCTTCCAACAGTTCTATTTTTGCTCACGTGTCTGTTGCTGCGGAAAAGTGTTTACCTAGCCGTTGGCAAGCATTAGACGTGTCCTGTTGCTGCACTGTTCACAATGTCGTGAAAAGAGAGAGATGACATTATAGACGGGAAGAGTAGGATTTACGAAGTTGTTAACATTCAAAACGTGTTATTATACGAGGGTACAAATTATCGTGGTATCTTTATCTATTTATTGAATTCTTATCACAAAAATATGTGTTCGGTTCTTTGCGTTGGAGTTTGAACGCGTTTAGCAAACCGTTACTTATTACTGGATGACTTCAATGTGGGAACAGTTTTTACCCAGCCGTTGGGTGGTAATGGATGTTTGCGTTGACTTCGCTATTCCGACTTCGTTAGATGAAATGTGGACAATTTATGCTGGATGAACTACATTTCTTGAGCACTACCTTGAGCACAACAATTCACCAAGCTCTTCAATTCTACTACGTACAAACAAAACGCTTAGGATAATTTCAGTAAATATTTTACTGTACATATAGTAATGTTTCAATAAAGCTTCAATTTTAATGTACAAAGTACGTTTATTCCAATAAAAGTCTTAATTTTATACCGTTTTCAACCTTAATTTCCACCGCGTGTCGGACGCGCCTTACGCTTTCACGGCGAACGGCCATACATCTCTCACCCACACCGATTATTTCCGTGTGTTGTTTCACGACGCTTTCTACGAAACATATTGCCGTTACTTAGGATAACATGAATTTTAATGTATTTTGTAACCGCTCCTTTCTTGATTTTGTTTCACTTTTTATGCATCCTGCGTTGAGTTCTCCAAGAAATGCATCAAAAGTCACGACTGGGAGTTAGGTTTACAGATCTCCGACTAAATAATCTGTAAGCTTCATTTCTGAAGGCCTCTGAGCGGTGCTCGATAGTAGCGGGAATGAAAGCGGAGGTGAATAGGTGAATTGTTGACGGCTAATTAGTCACGAGTCACAGTTAATGTGTTTATTCAGATAATAGAGAAAGACCGTTCTATTAATTATTTTGCATTTTCAGTCGATACAATAATTGTGAAACGTCACGTTATTTGGACACGGGTTGACTCTCTTGTCAGTCAGAGTTAAGAGATATTTTACAACCGGCGGTTTACCGCCAATCAGTTCGTTTTGGCGCCAATCCCCTTGAGAATCACGGCCAGAGATTTTTTCTCCAACTGAACCCTTGCGGTAATAGTCCTTATGTAACATTCTCTCGGACAAGAAGATGGGANGTCACGTTATTTGGACACGGGTTGACTCTCTTGTCAGTCAGAGTTAGAGATACTTTACGACTGGCGGTTTACCGCCAANGAATACGTGAATTGTTGACGGCTAATTAGTCACGAGTCACAGTTAATGTGTTTATTCAGATAATAGAGAAAGACTGCTCTATTAATTATTTTGCATTTTCAGTCGATACAGTAACTGTGAAATGTCACGTTATTTGGACACGGGTTGACTCTCTTGTCAGTCAGAGTTAGAGATACTTTACGACTGGCGGTTTACCGCCAATCAGTTCGTTTTGGCGCTAAGCCCCTTGAGAATCACGGCCAGAGATTTTTTCTCCAGCTGAACTCTTGCGGTAACAGTCCTTATGTAACATTTTCTCGNTGAGTCGGCCAGTCTGTCTTGGCATAAAGCACCCATCTGGACCATGAGACCAGATCTTTATTACTGTTTGACACTTACGGTCTTGTTTTTTATTGGCTCCCTCTCTGACGATAAGACGGGTTTGTCTCTTGTATATGC